TGCCATTGTGTCATTGTGCTTAAGAGCCAACGAACTGTACGTGGTGCCGATTCGTCAAATCGAGCATCCAGTTTTATTTTGTATGTTATTATGGTAGTACCATAGACAGTTATGAGTAGTTTTTGATTATGATTTTGTATACTATTTTTTGTTTTATTTGAGTTACTAAAGTCATTATGTGTTGTTGCAGTAGTTAGAAAACGCTACTGTTGTTCCAACCTGATTGTTGTTTGCCCTAAACGAAAACTTTCCTGTTGATTCAGTTTTTGCTCTTACGTGGGGGTATTGTAGCATTTTCAATTTCATTGATTCTTTGAAGTATATTGAAATCGCCTCGTATATGTAAAATATTAAAATCCCCTTAAATATGTTTGATAAATCTAAGAATATTTGGTACGTATTAAAACCCAAATATCTTTTCAATTCTTTCTTAGGTCGGCCAAGTTAAAATAAACCATTTTAGAGTTGTTTATTATTTAACTTTTTCGGCAATTTCTTTTAATGCTTTATTCGAAGTCACGTTATAATTTTTATACGTCGTAGAAATGGAATCTTCTGCGTTTTAATTCCTGCCAAGTGTTTGTTTATTTTCAAGTTATGCGAACAAATTTTTAATTTCGTCACTATCGTTGGAGCCACGGTGAGAAGCGGTCAACGTTATATCCGATTTTGACTTTAAATTTGAAATGTTCCTCGTTGTTCGTGTTTTTTTTTATGAAGACGTTTGTTCGTCTTTTTTTATGAAGAATATGTAGCAGTGAAAGGTGGTTTTGTGGCAGTAAATGCTTCAATTAATGTTTTGAGTGAGGATTGGAAGAATCGTCGTTTCCATCCTCGTTTTGTTTTTTTCCTGTTTGTTATCCAAGGCTTTTGGCAGTTTGGAGATGGAGTTGTTCATTACGCAGAGAGAGTGAAACTCAGTTCCAGTTATGGTTTCGGAGATTCCAGTGGCGTCTGGTTCCACAAATTCTAGTGCATTTTGTTAGTGAAAAATCCAGGTAACCTTTTGATCAAATTTTAAAGTAAAAACAGACAATTTTTTTAAATAATTGCTTTCGTTAAAATTTAGAAATTGTAACATTTAAAAATTGTAATGCGGTAACATTTGTAAGTTTTATGTAGTATCTCCAACTCCTTGAGTTTGTAAGCGGATGACATACGTAAGTTTTTTGTATTCTTGTATTTCTCCATTGTGTAACGGTTTGTGGTGACACAAAAATCAATGTTAAATTTTGTTTTCTTTACATTTTATTTTTTTTTGAGCTAACCCTTTTTTGAGTTTTATTTAAAAAAGATATGTTTTTGATGTTTTATAATTATTTCCCTAGTTACAACTAATGGTTGTAATAGGTATAATTAGGCACCTCAAGTGGCGCCTTATATTAAATTTCTTGAGGTGTTTCCTGTTTATTTTTATTTTGTTTATCCCAAGAGATTAAGTACCCCTTTATTTCTTTTTTTTTGTAGTTGCCCCAATCCAGCCCTCTTATCTTTTACTTATCCACGACCATAGCTCTCCTACCAAACCCTGAGTGCCGTTCGCACAAGTAGCGATTATTTTGCTTGCCTAATCTTCACCCCTGTTTCTTCCCCCAATTTTCTGCCTTCTGTATTAATGAACCCTTTGGTAGACAAGAAATATTTTCGTTACAATATATATATATATATATATATATATATATATATATATATATATATATATATATCGCACCTTGAAAACCATATGGCAGTAACTGCAAAAATCATAATGTCGAGTTATGAGCGTTTTAATTTTTTTTAAAGTTAATATTATTTACTGTAATTCCAAAAATTAAGCTACAAACCTGGTATTTAGCATAATTGTCTTTAATTTTGCATATTTTTGTATGCAGTAAGGAGTATGTGAAATTCTCTTTAGGAAATAGGTATTTTAGCACATACGGCCATATGGTTTTAAAAAATATATTAATTTTGGAAAATGATACAGTAAAATTCATATCGAATAAAAGTTTGTTTATTTAAGATTGTACTTATTTATTAAAAATTTTTGGTTTAAACACTTAATCAAAGTCATGCATATTGTAATCTGTTTGTTTGGTTTCTACTGTTCCATTGTTTACATGTAAATCTGCATAAAACCTATGGTAGTGCTCTTGAATAACATTAGCCTTAGATAGTGAGAGCAGATCTTTTTTTTTTCGAATGGATATTCCTGGTGGTTTCGAATATGATTTACTTAGTTCCGTATTAGCCACCAACCCTTGGTGTCTTCGCCTTATATTACTATTTCTGACCTTTGTATCGTGGTGGCTTGTTTTACCCTGAAACTTATTTTCAAGTGTCTTCTTCACCTTGATCATCTTAAACTCATTCCAGACAACCTGATTTCCTTCTTCGTCAACGCTATAATTGTTTCCCATTTCCTTACATAATTTTTTAAAGTAGATTATATCCGATTTAGGCATTTCATTCATTTTGTAAGGTTCGCCTGATTTTTTCGCTATTTGAACTATTGTGGCACATTGCGAAGGCACATAAATTGTTCTTTCTAACGCCTTTTTTTTGTTTCTCAATCAAAGAATGCATGTTTCTCTCTCATTCTCTCTCTCACATAGGTATGTTCAATTTCTGTATTGCATAGAGATAAAGACAGACAATATACTTATTCTTATTTTACCCACTGCAGTTATCTGAATATATCATTTCCTGTTCTCTGGCATGGTTCCTCAGAAATGATAACAGGCACGACGCTATTTGTAAGACCACGATTAACAATTCCCTCAAAACATAGACAGCAGTGTCCTGCATTTGTGGTCAGGTCAAAAATTGTAAAAGTAAATGTTGATAATCTCATTTTATAATAAAATAAGGGGATATCACCTGAAAGTGTCGGTAGTACGGCTTGTAAGTCAAAACAGGCAGCAATGCAAGTGTTGGATTTTGCAGATTTTGATTCATTTTCTTTTTCTTTTCTACTAAGTTCCACTTCTTGACGGTGAGTATTATAGACTGCTTCTAATGTAGATTTATCTAATGAATTTTTGTAATTTTCACATAGCGAGCAGAAGTCTTTTTTGGGCTTAAAGGAGCTTATATTAAAGTCCGTGTTAAATATGGTCCCAAACGTAGCGTAATTTCGGAACACCGAACATTTTTCTTCGCAAAATTTTGTGTAATTTTATTTAATATTATATAATAATTGTTTTAAATAGATAACGTGAGCACTTTGGTCCCGTTCTTTATTTTATTAAATAAAATTTGAATTATGGCTATTGTTATTGTTATATATTATATTGGTATTTGCGTTAAGGGCTTTAACTTTTGAATTAAAAATATTGCGAAAATATAACATTTATTATGTTAGTCCATAGAAATTTATTTTTTTTAATCTAGTGAAATTCTAGTGATTTTTGTCAGTGAAATGTAGACACTTTTATAAATGTGACCTGACAACATTATGGTACTTTTAAGTACAGTCTGTCCATAAAGGGTTAATCCAACATCATTTATTACACGAAAAATAACCTACAACATTGTAGAAAATTCAATCTTCTATGGTTCATGGTTCTTGAATTGCTTCTTACTACGTTTAAATAAATTAAACACGATTGTTTACTCACAACATGAAAACAACAGATAAACGTAGTCACAGGCAATGTAGCATTTATCTGGCATTAACTGCTGATATTGCCAGATAGATCCGAGTTTTTGTTCCTATTTTAGAACCATAAAGCAACAACTGCAGATAATGCCTGATGGTATAAAAAGAAGAATGGTTTTTTTACAAAAGCCATAAGGACGTATCTTTCTGGTGCCGAATTTAAAATTCGTTGTAGATGCTGCTATATAGCATTAAAATATAGATTTTTTTTTCTATTAGACTGCATTCAAAGGTCATTTTACGAAAAAATTGCAGATATTGCCATATGGTTTTCAAGGTGCGATATATGTATATATATATATATATATATATATATATATATATATATATAATATATATATATATATATAATTAATTAATTATATATTAATTCACTTCATAGTCATATAAAATTTACAATAGAAACAGAACAAAATCGATCCATAAATTTATTAGATTTAAAAATTATCAGACTTAAAAACAAACATGACTTTTTCATATTTTATAAACCTACCCATACTGACACGACTATACACAATTCATTATCCCATCCCACATAACATAAACTGGTAGCCTATCATAGTATGTTACATAGATTAACAGAAATTCCGATGTCAAAATACAACTTTGGGACAGAATTATATATCATTAAGCAAACAACAGTAAATAATAGATACAATGAATAAACAATTAATAAAATTTTATATAAAAAAATACACAAGAAAGTCCTGAAATTAGTATTTCCACCACCAGAGAAAAAACTCAGTACCTTCTGCTCGATTATATATACTTACAGGCAAAATATCAACAAAAATAGCCAAACACCTAAAAAGAAAGGAATAACACCAGCTTTCGGAACAAACAACAATTTAGGGAACTATATTAATAACAACAAGGACCAAAATAAAAAGCAATTACACATTGGTGTATACAAACTTAAATGTGGCGGATTCCAAAAAACTTACATCGGTCAAACTAGTAGAAATGTTAATAAACGAATAGCAGAGCATAAAATGGCTTTCAATAATAGAAAAACAGATTCTACATACGCACTTTACCTTCTAGATGATAATCATTCTTTTAATTTACATTCAAAATAAAGTCCTTAAGCTATCTTTCTTAGAATCTATGGAAATTAGCAAATTAGAAAACACAGATATAATTCTTCTAAAATCTAGAAAAATAGTTCTTCCTGCCTTAACCTATTTCATTAAAGACTATAAAGTGTAAACGCATGCCAAAAATAGATCACTTGAGAACGGCACTCTGCCAAAACAGCTGTAGTGATAAAATTTTATAATAAATTTTTGTGGAAGTTTTAAAAACACAGTTTTCAGTGTTTTATTGTTAAAAATCTATATATTTTTATTATTTAAATTACCTGTTTAGATAGCTGTTCTTGTGCTAGTTTATATAATACAGTCATCTTTTTCGCCAACACTTTAGATTCCAAAAAGCCATCAGAAAAGAGAGAAATCATGCATATCATTTCTAAATCAGGGACAATACACACTACAGGTCTGAACAAAGCTTTAACTGATTCTGGCAATTCCGTACGACCTGCGTAACCAGGATTCATCGTAATAAAAACACCAACTTTTGAATCTAGTGAAATTTCAACGCCTTCAAAAGTAAATCTTTCCAGCTTCATCATTAAGGCACTCCGAATTGTTTGCAATTGGGTAGAAATGACTGATAGTACCTAAAATATATATGATTAAACCATTGTAATAAAACATTGTTTTTCGAGCTGTTAGCCGTATCTTTGGTATTTCTTTTGTGAATTCAAGAATATCAAACGATTTATATGGGCTAAAGTAAGGAGAGATGGACCCTATTTTAGAAAATTAAAGCCTGTTTCTTTATTAAATAAACATCAGAATCTAAAAAAACTGTATAACATAGCTTAACATTGGTTTCTTTTGTTTTATAAGTAAAAACTAGAAATAATAATAATAATTGTTAACCTTAAATAAAATATAATGCACTGGTATGTCGTTGGCTCATCTCTCCTCTACTGTGGAAACCTTTTTAATGGAAAGATATTTTCCGCACTCGTTACAGAGATTAGCGAGACCAGTACAAGTTATATGTTAGCAGTGTTTGGGAAAGTATGTACGTTTTCTTTTCATATTTTTTCATTTATTATTTTTCTGTTACTGTACTGTAATGTGATCTAATCCAATACTGTATTCTAACGACTTTGTTAAAATATATTGCTTCCTGTTATTTCTTAAAATTGCTAAACTTGCTATCTCATTTATTATGTTTTAAGTACGGAAAATTTAGCTTTCTCTTTTGTGTTATGTGTCACAAAGGAAACTGATGTAAAGTTTCGTATTACCGTGACAATTAACTTAAATTATCGCCACTCAAAATCGCAATACAATAGTGATTTATTGGTATACCCTCTTGGACCACCACGTAACGGTTAGAGTGTTCTTTTCTGTCTCAATATACACTCCTTTCCAAGACAGCGAACAACACTGACCTAGTTTGATCGGTTCTCGTGCTATAGCTTCGGCGTCACGGGCGTCGTGATCCACCGCGACCAATTTTTCAGCCTGTTACGAATACATCAATAGAACCAAAGGGTAAGTCTACATTCTTTGTACAGACAACAATATTGACTAAGACCAGTTAATTTCGCTAATTTATTTACAAACAAATATTGCATTTTTTTCTTTATTATTATTTATCTAATATCATTTAACCAGCGACCTCTTAAGTTTTATACAAAACAAGCAGCGATTAGAAAAAATACATTGTAACAAGTCATCTTTTTTACGCGTTTGGCGATAGTCCTTGCATTCAACATACTAATTTTCACCATCATTCATGTTTTATCACCACTAGTGTCGTTTAGACTAACATCTTCTTCAGATAGTAACGATTCGCTTGGCTTTCTATTTTTACTTCTTTATTTTATTAGGTTTTAAGCTTTTTTAATCAGTGCATCCTTCTACGTCTTAGTAAAGTCTTTAACAGTAATCTCTCCAGTTATTTTTTTACGAACTCCCTTTATTGCTGCTGACAATATAGGCAAGGATATTACATCATCAAGAGCCTTTCGGGAGTTACATATTCATTAGTAAGTCATCAATGATAGATGACTTGTTTATACTATTTCACGTTTATGTTTATGCTTATTGATTACTTGTGCTACTTGTGTTATTTGACCGTTAATGCCAGGGAGTCCTGGTTGAGCAGATTCTGATGCATATTCTGGGAATAATAACGGATTAAACAGATAAATTCTCGTGGATTTAAATGCAAAAGCCGCATTTGGACGGTTGTGAAGTTTCCCCATGCTTGATCTAAGAGTTTACCAAACTGAAGGCATTTTAAAACCCTGTTTGTTTTATTTTGTACCCTAAAATGGCATTCAGCATAAAAAATTTTATGTGACTTAAAAAAGCACGATCCAGAAGCTGTAGGTAATGTGTTGTATGGGATGGTAAACAACATTGGATGGAAATTATTTCGTTTTGATCTGCAAATTCCAGTAGATCCAGGTTGGTCGTATGTATTTGGGTTAAAGGTACCTTACGACACTTTGCTTCGGTATTGTGTGAGAAGACAGTTCCTGACGGAGGAATGTACTAGTGCTTTCACATGTTGCATGGTAAATTACATATACACAATTTATTATATAAATCATAATCTTGTTGCTACATCATCAATAAGTACCGTTTACTTGGTAGATACATTTAATTTTTTTTTCTATTTTAATATTAATACCAAAAGCGAAAGGGAGAAACCATCGGAGTCTAGATTGAATATAAACATTATTCTGCCTTTCTGATGACCTCAATTGTTATATAGAGGTCATCGTATGTATATAACACAACATAATGATCCTTCAAGCTGGATTTTGTTCTTTTTTTCTATTTTTTTTTTGTTTTTTTTTATCTTATGGTAGGAGCCTTGCCGGTTATTATAACCAGATATTATTACGTGGTTGTTTACGGTTTTCTTATGGTAGGGACTTTATGATAACCGAATGGTTATCAATTATGATAATCATTTTATGTGTCTTGCTGAAGGGTTCCTTATGGTAGGAGCCTTCTCGGTTGTGATACCTATTTGTTGGGGTACTTCTTTTATCTGAAAAGATACCCAGTCGTCTGCCGAAAGACAATACCTAGTCTGCTAAATGACTATTTGTTTGTCGAGGTTCTCTTACGCTAGAGACATTATTGCGGTTAAGACAATCATAATATAGTAGCGGATTTCTTTTATGTGAAAAAGATACCTAATTGTCTGACGATAGACAATACCTATTCTGCCGAAAAGCTACTATTCTGCCGAAAAGCTACTTCTTTACATTCTTGGGCCAAGGTACTCTTCTGACAGAGACCTTTTTTGTCGTTGTTATAAACATTTATTGTGTATTTTCATTTTTAGCTAAAAGGTACCTAGTCTGCAGAAAGACTATTTCTTTTTTATATACTTTATTCAAGGTGCTCTTATGACCGAGACCTTTTTCCGGTTTTTAGACAAGATATCTTCTTGTAGGTTGTCAGCTATCCACATTTCTTTTTTAATTCTGATGACATGCTGTATATAATTTTACCACTGTTCAGCAGAGACATTGGCAAACGCTTCATGGATGAGTTGTAGCATACGATTTTTTTTAAGTCAGTGTTTTGGGCTGCAACGTAATGTTTAACTTTTCTCCAAACCATCTCTATTGGAATAAGCTCACAGTGATAGGGAGGCAATCGTAATACTTCTACGCCGTATTTCTCGACCAAAGTTTCGATGTTATACTTGTTGTATATATCTGCATAAATTTTTGCTACATCCAATAGTTCTGACTTTAAATAATCTTCTTTATAAAATATATCATTCACTCAGAACCATTTTTAAATTTATTGTTTGTTCCAGGAGCTTCTTGGGAAATTTTGTTTGCATAAATGATATGGAGGACTATCCATTACTACCACATTTTTTTCTCCTTTTAGGAGGTTTCCGATTAGTTTATTTTCAAACCAGTCTTTGAAAGACTCGCAGTTCATTTCGTCATGGTAGTCGCCTGAATATTTTTTGTTAAAAATACACATTCTGAATTCAGTAGAAAACCTCTATCAGATCCAACATATAAAAAGACAAATCTCGGACCTCTTTGTTTTGGATCATTTATGCCAGTAGTCAAGCCTTTTAAAAATGCATATAACTGGTTATAATTGAATTCATCCATACCTTATTTACTGTACGTCGGATATTTACCCAACTTTCATCCAAATAGAAAATATTGTATCCTTGATTTCGATAATTCTGTATTTTTCTAAGAAATTTATGCCTCCAATTTATTATATCCGGACGTTCCATCATTACTGCTTTCTTTCCTCTTTTTTCATAAACAAACCCCATCTCTCGTAATAGTCGATATAACTACTAGTACTTTTGGAAAATTTAGGCAAATAAACGGCATCCAGGATAGCTTTGATTGTGGGAGGTATGTTCTTTAAGAAAAATTTCATGTGAACAACTCTTCTCAATTGGCTCCTGATATTCTCATCGTAGGTAAACTCACGATTGGTTTCCTTCTTGGCCCGTTTACGTGGGTTTTTCAGAATTTTGGGTAAGTCTCCATTATGATCCAATCCTTTCTGACGAATTTTCCAGACTGTCCTATCGCTAACAACCAGCGCTATACTTGTTGTAGAAACAATTTGTGTTGGAGTCAGATCGGAATTTGTTTTTGTTGTATATATATCTTTGTCGCGTATATAAATCTAAGATTTGTTCTTGTTTGAATCTTTTCATCTCTAAATGCTCCATGTTTTTGACACAGTACATAAAAAAGTTTAAAAACAAATTGCACTTATTTTTTGACAAGTTAACGTACCTTCTCGAATGCACACACAAAACAGTTAAACCGTTTCAACAAACTGGAAAACTGTTATAGATATACGCACTCATATAAAAATTATTAGATACTATTATTAGGAAAATTCTAAATGCTATTCTAGGGATTCTACGACTTTCACTTCGGAGGTCATTCTCGAAATACAAGATATTAATCAATTATAAGAATTTTATTGTTAGTAAAAAAATTCTTCTAATAATTAAATTTAATCTGACTAATTTATATCGGCAAATCAGACATATTAAACATTTTAAAGTAGAAGACATCAAAATGATATTGCCAATATTTATGAGTTGCAAGGATTTTATTGAAAGATAGTTCATTCAATTATATGAAATCAACTTTAACTTAAAAATATCAGTCACAAAAGTCATAGCATGTGATGCTATGTGATGTTTTAGGGTAAATCTTCGTATTTTGTGCTAAAGTATCTCCAGTTACTATTTGGATAACTGTTAATGAAACACCCTGTATAAATAATACTAAAATATAAATGATGTATCCTCGATATACTTTTGACTTATCTACTAATTGTGGTATTTTCTTTCTATTCATTTCAATGCTATTCAAAAGGTCTCCAAACATCCATTTCCGTAAATATGACAACAAGGCATGTAAGAAATTTTCTATTCGTCAAATACAACAGTGCTCAACAATTGATAAGGATCGAATTAATATTTTACTCCAGAAATAGCTAAAGTTTGTAAAAATTTATTATAATTAAAGTAATATTAATACCCCGACTTTATTATCAATTTTAAATGAAATAAACTAAATTTTGCCATTATGGCCATTTTTTACTAGGGTCAGTAAAAAGTTAAATATTAAAGTCGTCTATTTTCATTTATTTTATTCAAGTCATCTTGAATACTGAAGTATTCAAACATACTAGGATCTCAACAAACTTTTAAAATATTTGAAATCCTAATTATGATCCTTATCAATTGTTGAGCACTATATTACGACGACGTCCGAATAATTTCTGGAACAGTCATTAGGGCAAATCAGTGAATGTTAGTGCAAAATTGCAAGTGCTTCGTGTGTAAAGAAGTGTTTAAGTTCGAAGCCGGCTCTGCCACATTGAGGCCGACGATGAACTAGCAACGCTGCAGCGTTTTCTTCCATTTGATTAACATTGTCCGTAAGAGCCAACGCTGAAGTCTACTAATGAATCCGAGTTTAGTAACCCATAACTACGAAGAGTAATCGAGATAACACCAAACAACGTTTACCTGGTGGTAGTACAAACTAATTCAAATTTAAAAAAATCTAGAAAATAACAATACTGAGTATCTTCCGAAATGGACAGCATTCATATTTAAAATTATTAAGAACGATTTAATATTCCAAGTATTAGACGACGAAGGAACCAACTATATGTATGATAGCCTAGCTTATTATATACATGTATGGCATTATATAACAACTTAAGTAGGTATATGGTACAACTTATCAAAGGTTAAAATACTAAGTAACCCTAACAAATTAAGATATACTTTAAAAAGAATAAATATAGTTACCGATATATCAATCCTGTTAAATTCATCAAAACATCCCCAAGCTCCACATTGTGCAAGTCCAGCTAATGTGGTCCCGATTGCTTTAAAATCCATTCCCTCTCCACAGTTAGTGACAATGCACAATAACGCAATTGCTTTAGCTAAATCTTTAGTGGTTTCAGTTTTACCTGTGCCTGCTGGACCCGCAGGAGCACCACCCATATGCATTAATAGAGCCTGAGTAAGTGTAAGATAAATTCTATCTGTTAAAGGAGTGATAACCAGTCTTCCATTTAAGCCCATATATTCATATCTAGAAAATATTAAAAAGTTTGATATAAGTAATTATTTTTCTCTTAAATATTAGTACAGAAGATTAAGCTCTCTCTTTGAGTGGAAATGAAATATTGTTGCAAATTCAAATCCTATTAGCCCGAGATAAAATAAAAAGTCAAGAGTATAGCATCACAGATAGCATTAAATAAACCCACAATACAAAATACACATATATTTTGTCCCAAACCCTTCTTTCAGTGCGTCACTAATTTGGATTTTAAGAATGTCGAGAATTATTGCATGACATTTTAGTTAAATCTGATCCTGCATGACAGTTGCAGGATCGTAATCGGCTAAATGTGAAAAGGTTATTTTTTTAAATATGGAATAAAAACTTTACCAATTTTTTTTTTAATTTACATATTAGAGGTCCCGTCCTATATATAAATTTTTATTGCGCATTATATTGGAACGGCAGTTCCAGTCATAATTCCTATTCTATAAATTCCCAGTAAAGTACTTAATTAGCTAAGATATATTTATGGATTTATTATTATTTATTACAAACACTATGGAATTGTAATGTTTGTTTATTTAAAATAATGCTTACTCCTAGAATCTTTTAAGAGTTTACTGCGAGATAAAAAAATTTACTAGTAATTGCAAGGCATCAAGGCAAACATTCCTGTGATAAAATAGCATCGATTGAAATCAGTCATATTCGGATAAGTTTCTGCGGCAGCCAATAGTTTAATTTTGTGAAGATTTATCATTAAATAGTGGAAATAGTTTAGATAGTGAAGCATTTTATTTTTTGAGTTATTCTACCAGATTTGGTGTGCAAATCAAAGAGTGTTATAAAGTTTAGTTAAAAAAGCAATGTAAATAGTTTAAATAGTGTTAATAGAGTTTAGTTAAAAAACAAGATACCGAACGTAAGTTTAGGTACCTTCTTTTTTTATGAATAAAAAAAATATATTATATCTCAAACAATCTACAATCCGATTCAGAATCTAATTCATTAAAATCAATGATTACAAGGGATATGAAGCTGGTATCAATCATATCTTACATTTCAAGAAAATGTCGTGGTTCTAAAAAGAAACATTTTAATACACATAAATAACTATAACGGTAATCATCATCATCTTTGGCTCAACAATCCTCTCTGGATCTTGGCCTGCTCTAAGATTCGTCGTCATTCTGTTCGGTTTCAACTCCATCTAACCACCTAATTCTCGGTCGGCCTTTGCTTCTTCTTCCTACAGGTGTTTCTGTGGTTAGCTTTTTAGCAACCGTATTTTCTGGCATTCGTATTATGTGTCCAGCCCATCTAAGTCGCTGTGTTTTAATGAACGTTATGACATCTGCCTCATCAAAGAGCTGATACAATTCAAAATTATATCTTCTGCGCCACTGCCCTTGGTCGTTTATAGCTCCAAATATTTTGCGGAGTATCTTACGCTTAAATATTCCCAAAAGTCTTTCATCTTTCTGCGTTAGAGTCAATGTTTCTACTCCATATGTGAGGACCGGCATCAGCAATGTTTTGTATATAATAATTTTAGTTCTTCTTTGAATGTTTTTTGGGTGGAGATGCTTTTGAAGTCCATAGTATGCCCTATTTGTAAGATTTAGATATTGCCCTATAACGATAATAGTGTAAGATATTTCCTCAATATCATTCCTGTGGATATGTGGCTGGCATAAATTTTTTGGCTGTCCCCCAGTATTCATTTAATATATCTTCTGCATATCTTACATATTTCTTCCATTTTTCTGGTGTTACCTTAAATTAAACCAGAATTATTATTATCTACGAATTTTAGTACGCCTGAATTACCTGTTCTAAATCTTCTTTTATATACTTAATACAGTACTTTCATTATTTACAGTAATTGCAAACTTATTTTCAAACAAATATAATCTCATTTATTATATATCTCTTAATATATACTTAAAATATTTATCTGGTAAATATTTTTACTCCATCTCTAATAATTCAAGTTTCATCGTGGTTGTTGAAACACGCATGTGTCTCCCTTTTAAACATTCCATTAAAGAGTGTTTAGTCCAATTTAAATTTGGTATTTTCCCCTAAACTGGAGTGGCAAGGTGCATAGTTTATAATTATTAACGACGGTTCTTCTAAATTTGTCAAAAGTTGATATTCACACCATTTTTTAAATTTTTTTTGCAGTCATCGAGTCTCCAGTTTTTTATCCACATTTGAAAATTAGACTGCAATTATCAATGAATCCATTTTTACAATCCGCATGGAGTACAATATATCGTACACCTTCTCCGGTTATCTTTCTAACAGCATTAATGCTGCCATCTTGCCAATTCTTGCGGAATCCTCCCTTGCTATATATCCAGGTCTCATCCAAGAAAACTGGTGGTAAAAGGTGTATATCATGTTGATTTTTTTGTATTCTTTTAAAAGTCGTTATCTATTATATGCTACATGTGATTGTTTCATTAGATATCTTCGATTTGATATATTGCAGTTTAGCCATCTGAATTTTATGTCTTTTAAAACCCTACTCAATGAACTAGTAGAAATGATAATTTCATCTGTGTCCTTCAGTTTTTCTTGAAGGCTATGAAAGGTAACATGTTGGTCTAAAATGAACAAGAAAAAATGTAAAGACGCTAGTAATATTTCAGTAGATTATGGCAAACTATATTTTTCACTAAACATTCTGTATACACGAGTTCTAATAATATGTTCATATTTATTGGTTAATGAAGGTCCTATACAATAAATACAAAATTAAATTTTCACTATACAATGTCTGAAAATACTAGCGTTAAATGACAATTTTCATTTTATCAGTTGACATTGTGAAAGTAATGTCACGATTGAGACCATCTGCGTCAAGCGTCAAATTATATTTATGCGCATCATTGATTGGATATCTATTTAGCGTAATCTAAACTCCAACCAATTATACATCTGTGATGCTTTAATATGCAAATACCCGTGAACAATACATAATTTTCTATGTGTAATAATCATAAACTCACGTTTTTTTCTGTCACTTCTAGCTTTATGCGTTATAGAGAATTCGATCAACTATGAAGCACTGAAAGAAGGGTTTGATACGGACTGTACATCCGTATACACCAAGCTTAATAGGCAAATTATCAAACAGCAATCAATCAATTAATCAATGTTTTTTCTTAATAGGATAGGTTAAGTATCTTTATTTCGAGGGGATGAGAATATAATTGTACCCGTTTAGGGTCGGTTGACCCTCTTCAGGCTTGAGTTGAATGTGATGTATGGCTGTACAAAGGCAAACACACCCAAAAGTCACTGGGGATCAGCTTCTTCTTCTTCTGTTGGATTTGCACCTTTTCTTTGCCTGGAGGAGTTTTTGTCGACAAACAGAGAAGCAGAAAACCAGAGAGAAAGGCTTTGTTGGAGTGGTGTTCTTTCCAGATAGTCATGTGTGTTTTTAGAGTTAGATGCGACAAGGCCGAGTCTCTAGTGACCATTGGTCATGTGCAGTCTCGGGCTTAACCCGGTCCCGAAACCAGTGTATTGCACTGAAATTTCGTGGACGAGTGTGCTCGTGAGTAGAGGCGCCTCGACTTTCGAGAGTCGGCTTACCGCATTTTGCTCAGTGTGAATGTGTGTGTGTGTATGTAAATCCAACAGTGACGGACGCTACCATTTGGTTGTTACTGACTCCTCGAATAACTTAGATTTTGTCCGGCCGATCACAGACTCCGTGTAAAGTAACGGAGGCTACAGGCGGCCGGGGGTCCCGGTGATGAGATGGTCACTGTTGGATTTGTGTGAGTGTTTGCTGTATGAATTTGTGTGTAGTGTGAGTGTGTGTGTTCTGACTCGCCAGTAACTAAAACCATGTTCTCTAGTAACCATTGTTCCTGCAGCCGTTTATGCGCTCGCAAACAACACAGAACTAGTGTATTGCACTAAAATTCTGTTGTTGTTTGCTCCCGCTAACGGCCAGGCCTCGTCGGAGTTCGATAGATGGTTCCAGTAACTGCTGATTCAGGTGATAAAATAGTTGAGGCTATTTTCTCAGGGACGGACAGGTTCATTGATTAATGAGACTGGGAAACCGCAAAAAACCAATCTCCCCCTGTCCGGGTAGGGAATAGGATAGGCAAGAACTAGGTTCGGCGATAGGCTAGCGGAATGGCCTCAAGAATGTCGTAGTATTCTGCCGAAAGTTCGTCGATGCATGTTTGCATCAGAATAGAGGGAATGTGAGGGTGTTTGTTTTTGGATATCCGGGAGACTACATAACCTCTGAAAGAGCAGGAACTTTTTAAAGTATTTTGGGTGTTAGACGGGGGTCTGTTGATGGTTTTGAGGGTAAAGTTCTTGTTGAGAGTTTTTATTCTCGTAAAAATAGAGGTGGTGTTGGCCGTTCAATGGATTTCACGGAAGGGGAAGTGCCACCGTTTTCTTCACGTTCTACGCAGAATTCTACACCCCACAGAGAGTAGTTTTTCCTTTGATAGTCCTTGAGAAGACAATATAAGTGTGCCTTATACTCAATAACGGATCGGTAAGTGTGTATGAGAGTTTTGTTGTTGGTTTTTCCAAAAGTCCCTGAGAGTGATACTAGCAGACGGGCTGTGTTTCTGACCCTATCTAAAGTTACCTTTAGATTAGTTTCCCAATTAAGCGTTTTACTGAATAAAACGCCCAAGTAGGAAGCTGTCGGGCTGGTTACTAGCTTTTCTTCCATCAAATACAGGGGTGTTTGATTATCGCGATTGCGTATGATCCCTGACGATGTTTTAGGGCTGCGGAACACAGTAGATTGTGTTTTTGCAGCGTTTAAGGTAAGGCTCCACTTATTACACCATTCTTCGATACCGTTTAAAAGAGTTTGTGCTCTTCTAAAGGTTCTCTCGGAAAAATAATCGCTCCCTGTTGTTAGGAGGGCAGTGTCATCTG